TATGTTACAGACCCAGTGTATAAAGCGCCGATTTCACTACCCAATCTATCAGGCGCGATTTATCGGCCTCGATTTAGGGCGGTTGGCGTCATTGTGATTACACTGCACTAGATCGCCTCCCTAACTCAGTTGGCATGCAAACATGGCGTTGAAAGGATGGCTTCAGCGCTCACAAAGTACCAAAAAATTGGCATAGCCCTTACTTTAACTGCGGGCGTTAATAATTTTAAAAAAATGTTGGGTGAAAAAATATTTGCTTCTAAGAGACAAACTATGCAGTTTGAACTACTTCAGAAGTTTCTGCACAATTTAATCATATATTAAACTTAGTCATAGCTTATATATATAAAATAAAAATATACTCTATTTAGAACTAGTGTAAGCACTAAACAACGGTTAGCTGTAACCTTAAGATTTTTAGCAACGGGAAATGCATATCATGACTTCAAGTATAAATCATTGATATCAGAACCCCTGCTATCAAAAATTGTACCAGACACATGCAGGCCTATCTATAAATTTCGTTGTCGTTCACTGACGTCTCACACACGCTGCGCAACAACCGACTGAGCGCTCTAACAACCTAACAGCGATCACATTGCCCGATAAATCGGCCCTAATGCACTAACTAGTGAGATCGGGTGGTCAGGCGCTCACGATCACCGTATATCGGGACCCTAACTCTCTAACAGCGATTAGACTTCCAAATTTACAGTGTATCCGATAGATCGTGCCCGATAACTTGGGTAGTGAAATCGGCGCTTTAAAAGCGCCTGTACGCGCCTGTAGAGACAGTTATTGCCGTTGTTGCCATAATATGAAAATTAATGAATTTTATCCATTCCACGTCATATATTAATTTCCGTTTTTTTAAATGACAAAATTATACAGATATTAATAATTAATCATTAAAAATGCTGCTTACTTTTATTAAAGTCACTTAAGTCTATTATTTGAAACCGAGGTAGTGTATATTATTATTGAAATTTATTAAAGGTTTGAAAATGACGTTCCTTTATACGCTCAATTTAGTAAACTTCAAAAGTTCCACATAAGCGGCGAGCAGCTGTCAAGTGATGACAACTTCACTGCCAGAATACGTGGCCCCGAAGGTTTGCGTTGTATTTGGGGTTCTTGTTTATATTTTTTATTGGATTATTTCGTTTATCAATCATTCTTGAAGCCGTAAGTGTAGAAACATTTTTATTTTTAGATAATATCTAATATATTTTATATCCATAACAAGATTGTTTTTCCGTGAAAGTTAATTTCTAAAGTTACATGGCAGCTGTCAAAATTAGTCTCAACACAATTTCAAGTGCTATTTATGATATAATTGCTTAAATTACGTATATTTATAAAATATAATTTGCGTTGATTCACATGGGTTATAATGGTAAACCCATTTTTCTATTTTTTTGCACATATTTTTGCCGGAAATCTAAATTCTCTTATGATACATTGGCTCATGTTTTACTGAATTAACTGGAAGTAAGTTTATTATTTAATAATTAGGATAATAATTATGACTGTAATGTTTTAGTATATATTCTAATAACAACTCTACATTTCATAATAATACTTTTTAATTATTGTTTAAAATATAAAATTAAACAGTTGTCATTTACCATTAATTTATTTAATTAGCTAGCTGTTGTCCCACGACTAAGCCCGTGTAAATTATAGCCTTTGTCACCTTCATATGATGTAACTTCTCATAGGTGAAAGAATTTCTAAAGTTCTAAGTCCAGTACTTTCAGAGTCCATTTGATGTTTCCTTTTTTGTAATATTAACATAGATAAATATATATGAGACAACATCATATACATAAATCTATCATAATAGTAATTAGATTTACTTTTAAGTTTTAATTAGATATCTTTATTTCTTTCTCATCATATCAGCTGTTCAAAGCATACTACTGAGCATAGGCCTTTCCCATGGGTCTCCATGACAATCTGTCCTGTGCTACCCACATACACTTCCCTCAACCTTTATAATTAGTCCACTTGTTTGGGGGGCTGCCTACTGAGTGTCAACAACATGTGCATTAGACATGATTTTTGTCTTTATCATTTTCATCCCAAGACCCACTCTTTGCAAAGCACTACTGAGATCTTCGAGCATAGTGTTCAGTTCTTCCAAGATCTCAGCCATTAAGACTATATTGTTGGCAAAACAAATGTGTGTTAGGTACTAACCATTGATATTGATGCTTACCCTTTCCAGTCCAGAAGCTTAAAAGTATCCTCCAACGCAGCAGTTAATAGTTTTGAAGAAATAACTTCACCTTGTCTCATGCCTTGCTGCAATGGGATTAGATTTGGTCTCTGAATCTTTAATCGGACCGTCATAATAGCATTTCCATAAATGCACTTTAATATGAACAAATGAAAGGCATTCTTGAAGTCTCTACTCCTCAGCATTATTCATAATGCAAGAATAGTTATAAACATGCAATAATATCATCTATAAAGTTCTGACAATTAAAATTATTATGAAATGTAATCTTTTTTCTATGTTCAATTCCTATTCAGTTTTAACCACAACACATTATTTATATAACAAGGTAATAGTTTTGTTCTTCTGTTAAAAAGCATGACAGGGGCATTGTCACTTCATTGCCAATGTAATAAGTTTGGATCTACAAAAAACAATTCATGAAGACATTAAAATGACATATGTACAGTTAATTTAATTCATTGATGAGGGTATTAACTGAACAGGAAAATATTGATAAAGAATTGCAATTTTTAATATTAAAGTTAATCAACATTAAGCTACGTCATTAAAATAATTAAATATGTTAATGAGCATATTACTTCAATTATAGGCTGTTTTGAGTGAATTTATTATACTCATTTTCATTAAACAACTTTGGTTTTAACTTAAGACATTATTTAAAGTTACAAAGAGGAAAGCTTTGATTGTTTTTTTTGCATTGCATAGGTTACTTCTGGACTGGTTTGAAAGGTTCTTTCACCTATGGACTGCTAGATCATACGCGGGAGACAGGCTGTAATTAATGCAGTCAAAGTCACAAGAACAAGTATTGAAAACGTAAAAGTGCAATTATCATCTTCATGCATATTAAATTAATGCTACAATCCATTATCAAAATTACTTTTTGCCACAACTGTAAATTTTTTAATGTGCATAATTAAATATTTTATTTGTCTAAATAATTAATAGACATATTTTTTATGTTACAGTGAATACATTATTATTTGAAATAAATGGGATTTAGACTAGTTTATCTAATTAAAAGTATAGATAGTTGAAATGTTTATTATTTAGGACAAGATCAACCAAAAACAATACCTTTTAAAGTAAAAATTTTATAAAACACCTGAAAAAAGTTAAAAGTTGGGCTTTCCTATGCGCAGTTCAGACGCGGATTATTAAGTTTTCAGATAAATTATGTCAAATTTTTGGTTTTAATCAAAAACCTTTATACTAATATTGGAGATAAAGATGGAAAAAGGTGTTTATAAACGATACTACTTATAACCACCGTCCTGTACCCTTACTCTTAATTACCAAATTTATAAATATACCTTAACACATTTCTTCCATATTATTAAGTAAAAAATATATATTTATTTATTTTTCAAATATGAAATTATAATCAATACTATTTGTTGTTGGTAAATATGTTCTGTTATTAATATATGATACGATGAGTTTTAATTTGTTAAAGAGAGCCTCAATTGACATATTGTATTGTATATTTTAAAGGTAAATAAATATATAAAGGAGCAGTTTAAAAATTACTCAGTGATTTTGTAACATGCCATATTATATTTCAGGTGGACTGGCTTCAAAAGAGATGATGAATCCACAATATTTACCTCCTGGTCAAAATAACAATACACCAAATAATCCTCTTGCTTTTCCTCCAACATCACAAGAGTATAATGGAGTCCAAAATGCTAACGTATACAATCAAATTCCACCAAATGGGCAACAAATGCCACTCAAATCATTTGATCAAAACGACATGTCTCAAAAGATGCAGTCCATGAACTTAAATGGGCCAGGTTTTCCAAATATTCCAGTATCACAATTACCTCCAGATCAACTCCCACCAGGATCAAATAATCCTCCTACTTCTAATTTTGGGTCAAATCAATTTCCTCCTGGTCAAAGACCCCAAGGTCAATTTCCTCCTGGAGGCCCACCTGTAAGTGGAGCTCCACAGCATATGCCAATGCCTAAGCCGATGCAACAAAAACCACCATCGTCTATGCCAGGCCAGTTACCTCCACAAGGATTTGGTCAAATGCCACCACTTAGTCAGGCACCTAACCAATTTCAGGGACCTCCAGCTTCTATATCTAAAGCTCCACCAATCAGTCTAGCTAGTCAACACATGGGTCAAGGTCAGATGCCTGGGCAAATGCCTCCACATTCACATAGTCTTCCATCAGGCCCAATGGGTGGACAACCTGCCTTGCCACCTGGCCAAGTAAAACAAAGCTTCCAACAGCCTGGAATACCTCCCCAACCACAAGGTTCACAGCAAACGGGACTACCAGTTCAAATGGGAATTTATTCTCAATCTGCTTTAACTCCACAAGGCCCACATTCACAAACTGGACAGATGCCACCCCCGAGATCTGAAACTGGATCAAGTCAGCATAATTTCCTTCAATCAGGGCAATCTGGCTTACCATCACAGCCTAATATACCACCAATGGGTATACCGCAGCAACCTGGCCCAGTCTCTCAACCTGGCCTGCCTCCTCAAGGAATGCCCCCTCAGCAAGGATTAAGGCAACAGCCAGGGCCACAATCACAAACAGCGCTGCCCCAACAATCAGGCTTACCATCTCAAGGAGGAATGCCTCAACAACCTGGATTTCCACCAAAAATGCCGCATCAGCCTGGACTGCCACCACAGCCAGGAATGCAGCAGCAACCAGCAATGCCGCAACAGCCAGGTATACCGCAACAACCGCGGATGCTGCCGCAACCAGGGATGCCACCACAACCAGGGATGCCGTCACAACCAGGGATGCCGTCACAACCAGGGATGCCGCCGCAACCAGGAATGCCACAACAACAACCGGAGATGCCTCAACAGGCAAGGTTGCCGCCTCAGCCTGGTTTTCCACAACAGTCTGGATTACCTCCTCAACCAGGCATGCCGCCTCAGCCTCCCTTTCAACAGCCCGGTTTGCAGCAAGGTTTCCCGCCGCAGTCTGGTCTTCCTCCGCAACCAGGCATGCCACAGCAAATGAACAATCAGTATCAATCGATGGCCGGTCTCCCTCATATGCCGCCTCCGCTGGGTCAGCAGAGGCAGCAGTATGGTGGCGCGCCGCCGCCCCAGCCTCAGTTCCCGCAGCAGGGATACCAGCAACAGCCGCAGTCTGGTTACCCGCCGCAGCCGTTCCCCGGCCAGCAACCCAGCTACCCTGGACAGTATCAGCAACCACCGCAGAAAAGATTAGATCCCGATAGCATGCCTAGTCCGGTGAGCAATGTTTAGGAAAGTTACTTAATAGTTTTTGCAAATATCTATATTTTTTTTTTACGTCTTTTACCCAGCGGGGTAAGTTTTGAGCATATTCTCTCATTTTACACGTTTCTAGCATACCCGCTTCATTTCCTTGATGAACTTTTAAATGCAAGAACACTGACTTAGAATGTTCTTAATGTGAGGGCCTACTCTGTTTGTCCACGAACGAATCTCGAATCTTTTTTATAATTTCGTTAAAATCATATCCGCGAAGATTTAACAGTGTATCAGAGGCAGTGTCAGCTCCTACTTCTGTTGCATCATAAATTACCGAAAAATGCGTTTCTTTGAAGTCGTATTACCGTTCGGAAATAGAGGCAATTTCATCATGATAAACTTTCAGATTCAAGTGATGGCGGATGATCAGCAGAACAGAGGCGGTATATTTGTGACCAACGAGAAGGGCTTGGTGCCTCCTTTGGTCACCACTGACTTCGTAGTCGACGATAAAGGCAATGCTAGTAAGTGCTCAAAGGATTGATTGGTTTTCTTAAATATATTTCTCTAGCATTTGGCACTCTCTATCTTTAGCCAAAGTTTTATTACATACCAGCAATTCATAAACAAATTTCTGCAATTTATTTAAATTGTATTGACATTTAATTATAGTGACTCACTGAGTGGTTTCAGTAAAGAGTTACACATGTCTATTGTAAACTAGATAATGTATATAATGTAATCGTTCTAGGTCCTAGATACATTAGGAGTTCAATGTACAGCGTACCAGTGACTGCTGATTTGCTAAAACAGACATCGATGCCCTTTTGTTTGGTGGTAAGTCATAATTATTATTATCAGCCTATTGCAGAAGCGCAGGCATTCCATATAGATAGAATCGAATAAGAAGAACAGGTCATAATTCACAGGATTTACCACGCGGGTGTTAAGTTTGTTGTTGCTGCAGGTGCAGCCGGGACCAAGGGCTTAACGTGCTTTCGGAAGCACAGAGGAACTCGAGATAATAGTCAAAGTCAAAAAATTATTTATTCAAATAGACTTCTCAAAAGTACTTTTGAATCGTCCAATATTTTTTCCCTAACACTCGTTCAGGAAATCTTTTGACTGATAAGAAGAACCAGCGAGAAACACATCAGCTGTAATGAGAGTAACGATATTCACAAAACCATGGCATTACCAGATCAATACTATGATCTTATAATGATAACAATAATTTAATAATGGCAACAAGATAATTTTGAGCTTATAAGAAATGACATATCCAGTTGTTGGAACATCTTAAGTTCAAGCATTTTTTTTATTAAATAGTAGATTTAAACTGCATGAAATCTAATTATTATATTTTGCTTGGGACCTTATTGTAGAAGCGCACACGAAGACCTCTTAATGAATTACTAACTTTTTGCAGTCTAGTGACAGTTAATTTAACCGTTACATTTTTATATTTCTAGTATTAAAATGATACGTCACTTTTTATAGAAAACTAACTAATATTTTTACGAACGTACATTACGTTCTCATATATGTGGCGCAGTGGATAAGCGCCGCGGCCTGCGATCGTTGTCGTTAAGCAACTTTCGCGAGGGTCGGTCAAGGGATGGGTGACCGAAAAATTATTATCTCAAGCTACTCCGTGCTTCGGAAGGCACGTTAAGCCGTTGGTCCCGGCTGCATTTGCAGTCGTTAATATCCTCCAATCCGCATTGGGCCAGCGTGGAGGGTCATGGCCCATCCTCCTTAACCATCCATAAGGAAGGCCTGAGCCCCTGCAGTGGGGACACAAAAGGGCTGGTGATGATATGTATTGAGAAGCAACTGTCATTCTGTCTTTTTCTTTAAATTTTTCTCTTAAAGAGTCCCTAATCCTAACATTATAAATTGATCTAATAGCTATTCTGAAGCATACAAATCGTTTGTATGTCGGCAGCATTTCCCCACAAGATTCTGTACGACATTACAGTATGAAAGTAACTGAAGTATACTAATCTGGCAGTATCTATATCAGTTAACCTACATATGTGGCAGAGCTAAGTCAATTCTACAGTTTATCAATAAGTTTGGTATCTATATACCCCTAAAAATACTTTGCTATCTACAAAGCCCAAATTCTTATATTTTATCCATTGGTACAAAACAAAGCCGTTTCCAGTCGGTTGAACGCCGAGATCTTTAATCTAATCTTGGTGGCGCAGGTGAGCCCGATGGCGGAGCCGGTGGGCGCGGAGCCGGAGCCGCCGCTGCTGGACTTCGGGCAGCTGACGGGCTGCGCGGGCGCGGGGCCCGTGCGCTGCAGCCGCTGCAAGGCCTACATGTGCCCCAACATGAAGTTCATAGACGCCGGCAGGCACTTCAAGTGCGCCTTCTGCAAGGCCACCACCGAAGGTAACGCCGCAGATCAGACTCAGACTCCGAGATGAGTAGCTTAAGGCTCTCGTATTATGGTGTAATTGAGACTATGAAAGTACCGCAACACAGAAAACAATATAGAAAAATACATTTTCTACATTGACCCGACCGGAAATCGAATCTGGGATCTCCGAGATGGTGCCACCATGAAACCTGCGTGCGAAATATCCGTAGGCGAATATTTCGCACGCAGGTTCGGGTCGCCAACCTTGTGCAATCGACGTATGGAATTTCCGACAGATTTAGGTTTACTCTAAATCTTTACTTATAAAAAACTTATAGCGGTTGTTTAGTAACTCATAACTCTGTGCGGGATATTCAGTTTAAGTGAAAAAGTCAAAACACTGCGTAATTATACAACGCCTATACTTATTGGTAAGGCCGTATATATTTATAAAAAAATATAAATAAAGTTTTGTTTTGTCGTAGTGCCGATGGAGTACACGCAGTATATAAACAGTATGCAGCAGTACGGGCGCGTGCCGGCTGAGATGGCGCTGGGGGCGTACGAGATAGTCGCCACTAAGGAGTACTGCAGGGTACTGGACTAGCTCCTATATTATATATGTATATTATGTACCACTTGACCGGCTAAAACAGCCTACCAATTAGACGGCTAGCTTTTTGTTAAATGAGTGATTCAATTGCCCGGCTAGTTTTCTGGATGAATTTAAAATGTTTGATTGAATAACTGATTTAAATATCATCGATTTAATATATTTCTCCAAAAATGACTCTTAGAATAATCTGATCTATTTCTATTTGTCCTCCAACGAAATTTCTAAAAAAATGAGTTTTTCTTATAATTTTGTTAAAATCATTATCAAATCATTAATTACTGTCTACACCCTTATCCGTGAAGATAAGGGTGTAGACAGTAAACGAAAATAAATACAAAAATGACCTATCCTTCCAAAGAACGAGGCCACCATTTTTTTTCCCGCACTTCGATCTCTCTTCACTTTAGTTGGCAACTCCTCGAAAGGAAACACCCACTGAGCAGATTGTCTTTTGGTTTTAGGATCATAACAGTAAATCCAGCTTTCGTCACCTGTTAGTATGTCGAACACAGCATTTGAGTCACCTCCGTTAAATCTTTCAATCATTTTACGACACCAATCCACACGATGGAGTTTTTGAGCCTCAGTCAAATTATGAGGTATCCACCGGGCGCAAAGCTTCCTGACCGCTAAATGTTCGTGGAGGATTTTGTGCACTTGACTCATACCGATGCCTAAGCTTGTCCGAATCTGTTGATAGGTCACTCTTTTGTCAGTCTCTATCATACGCCGCACAACACAGATGTTATCTTCAGTCGTCGCCGTAGAAGGCCGTCCCTCACGTAAATCATCAGTGAGATTAGTGCGACCACGTTTAAACTCATTAAACCAGTTGTAAATATTATTATTTTTTCCGGTAGTGTTTAATATGTAACGGCGGGTAGTCAGAACAGGCTATTATGAAGCCCAAATAGATCGTCCATATCGGAGGACTATCTTTAAAATAATACTGCAGGCGGGTATACCAACGTGGATTTTTTCCATTTTATCACTTTTCTTACGAAAATATAATGAGATGAGCGTGATGTCGTCGGATGTCTTTACTCCTCGGCGATCGGAAATAGAATGTGTGCCAAAATGGCGGCCACTTGGTTTTTATAAACGAACTGTCAAAGTCAGTGTCACCATTCTAATAAAATTAAAAGTATCGATGATCACGCTCTCTTTACAATCGAGTAATTAAGTAATCGAGTAACTAGCGATTAAAATAAAAGAAACTAAATCAAACGATCTTCGTAATGATGATGCGACATATACTATTACCGATAATCACACTTTTATGCTTATTATATTTATAATATTGCTTAAATTGATTGTGAATTGATTATGACATGTAAACGGCGCGTGACGTCACGACCCTCTTACTCATGCCAGAACTTGGAGATTTCAACCTTATGTGTACATAGACATTCGTTTCTGAGTGCCGTGACGTCATTGAGACGCCGTCACACAAGTGGCGTATACGAAGCAAATTTTGAAAATTAAATATATTTTTAGATTTAAACTTATGATATGAATGATATTTTTTTAGATATATTTCATGTATATGTATAAAATAAAAATATAAAAAAATGTCTACGCCCCTATTATCTGTGCATCACAGGCAGTGTCGGGCTCTACCTCCGTTACATAATAATTTTTTTTCGACAAATTGTCTTTGTCTCCCAAATAGAAGAAGCGTTCAGGTGTCATGTTAATTCGTATAAGTATCTTTCTAGGCGCCGTCAATATACATATTTCATTTCTTGTTCTAGAATAACACTCTACCCAACCCGCCGGCCGTCGTGTTTGTTATAGACGTATCATATAACTCTATCAAAAGTGGTCTGCTGCAAACCATCTGCGATAACGTCAACAGGTTCATAGAGGTAGCTTTACATTTTATACTTTAAGTGATACAATTATTAAAATTGGTTCAGTAGTAATATATATCTCAAATATAAAATTTTGTTGTCAAGCTTTAATGTCATATAAATACATATAGTATAATAGGTCTGAGAATAATACCCCTAAGTGATAAGGGTGATCTTTCCCAAATTTATAGTGCAATACAATGTTTACCGGTTCAGCTAGTAATATATGAAATAACTAATGAAATATAATGTATATAATATATGACTACAGGCGTTGCCGACAGACCCTCAGACTGGTGAGACCTGGACCCGTATTGGATTCATCACGTACAGTTCCACGGTCCACTTCTATAATATTAAAGTGAGTATTCAAAATCGATAAAATTATAATTGAATTGGCTATTTCTTTCAATTTAATTCGAAACGGCCGATTCCAAGTATTGCAGTTGTATCATTTCTTTACTACGCCTGAACATTTTTTTCTTTTTAAACTATTAACCTGTACCAGAACGCATTTTTTGAGTGTGCTACCCCTCGCCCCCTCGCAACGAGACTGCAAATAAAACAACCTCGTTAGTACGTCGATTTAAGCTGCATTATATCTTTCTATATAAATCGATTAAGTAGCTCGGTGGCGTATTGGATAAGCGCCGCGGCCCGCGATCGTAGTCGTTAAGCAACTTTCGCAAGGGTCGGTCACGGGATGGGTGACCAAAAAATTATTATCTCGAGCTACTCCGTGCTTCGGAAGGCACGTTAAGCCGTCGGTCCCGGCTGCATTTGCAGTCGTTAATACCCTCCAATCCGCATTGGGCCAGCGTGGAGGGTCATGGCCCATCCTCCTTAACCATCCATAAGGAAGGCCTGAGCCCCTGCAGTGGGGACGTAAAAGGGCTGGTGGTGGTGGTGGTGGATATAAATCGAAACGTAGAGGTGGCCCGCATTAGCTCTCGAAGTCTAAATCGAGGACCGTCATAGTTGTGCCATAAATGAAGAGCGCCGGCTGACGACGTTCGAGTCGGTCTGTCTGTTGAGGAGTGGACATAATTTGTATCAAGCGTACTTAATCTGGAGACCCTAGCACATCGAGAAAAAGGTCTCCTCGTTGTGTATTACCTTTCTGTGCTCTATCACAAAGTGGAATGCCCAGATGTATTAGAAAGGGTGAGCGTTTCGGTTCCCATGCGTGTTTCGAGCGATGCTGCAGGTTTAGTGAGACCACGGCGAATGCCGCATCTTCTCGCTTGACCTCTCACTCGTACTGTTTATGCTTCGCAAGCGCCCACAGTATGCGTCTGATCGGTGACGTGCTCGCTCATCACGAGAAATCTGATTTGTTTGTGGATGGTGTAAGACAACTAGAAGCTATGACTAGACAATTCATACTGACATTAATTATTTTAATTGACATATATTGCAGTGTTCCAAATTGTAATTTTTTGTCTAATATTAGCAAAGGTTTCATTTTACTATTTTTTATTATTGTCTCGTTTTAATATTGATTTTTTAAGCTATTATGTGTTGGACTTGAAATCTGTGAAGTTGCAAGTGTATGTAACGCTTGCTATGTGCGATGTGCGATGTGCGACAGGGCTCCCTGGCGCAGCCGCAGATGCTGTCAGTGGGGGACGTGGGGGACATGTTCGTGCCGCTGCTGGAGGGGTTCCTGGTGCGCGCCGAGGACAGCGGGGAGGTGCTGCAGCAGCTGCTGGCCCAGCTACCCGACCTGTTCCGCGACAACAAGGAGACCGAGACCATCCTGCTGCCCGCCGTGCAGGTCAATCTCTGCATTCAATCCTTAGCTCCTAATAAACTACTGACCGCCCTTAAATGCCATTCGATTGAATTTGACGATTTTGTACCCCCAACCCCGCTTTATTTTGAAAGTTAAGAACGGTGCCAGTTCTTGCCCGGTTGACATGTCTTAATCTTTAAGTAATATACTCTATGCGTGAATATGGCGGGCGACATTTACGCGGGTAATTTTGATTTAATTTTAAGGCAATTAAACACTTCCGAGTGTCGTTTCAGAGTATAGAGTACCCTATTAGATATGATTGTATTTGTGTTTATCCAGGCGGGTCTTGAAGCGTTAAAGGCGGCGGACACTTCGGGCCAACTGTTAGTTTTCCACACGAGCCTTCCGACATATAACGCGCCCGGCAAACTGAACAACCGCGAGGACAGGAAACTGCTCGGCACAGATAAAGAGAAACAGATATTAGGTGAGTGTACAGCCGTCTTGTTGAATGTCACGGTAAAAGTATTTTTAAATTTTCATATGATTATTTTAAACCAATATCAGATTTATTTTTCTTCAAACGTGTTATTATAAAGTAAAAACATATTTTCAGTCATTGATTTGAATTGTTCCGGGAAAACAGTCACGTGATATTTCGAGTAGTGACGTCAAATTTCCATAAAAAATCTTCTAAACTTCACTTCACTGCACTTGCATTCGCAAAAAAGGCGTCAGTGTTTAGTTTATTGAAATGTGACGTCACATGATGCCTCATCATAGCCGTCCGCGTTTCGTTCTTTTTAATCGACTTCTAAAAAAAGGAGGACGTTTTCAATTCGAATCTATTTTTTTTCTTGTTTGTTACCTCACGGCAAGCACTAGCTTTCAAATAAAGAAAGAATCATCAAAATCGGTCCACCCAGTAAACTGTTATGAGGTACACACAACCACTTTATTCCAAAACTATTAGCATAAATAATAGTTAGTAGGTACCTCTTTTGGTCTGTTTTGTGGTTAGGCTTAGGACCTATATATTGTGACTATAAGTAGATGCATTCTATTAAACACCAAGATCTTTTCGTTTCTTTATTTAAAAATATTTTATTAGTGTTTTTTATTGTTGTACTTTAATACATAGGAAATACATTAATCATAGATTTTTACTAATGTTATCAAATAGTAGGATATACATCAGAGGTTCCCAAACAATTTTTTCATTACAGGTAGACCATTTTACAAAATTACTGATTTCGGTGGTACATTTTTTATTTCACGCCAACGTAGACCCCCGTCGAATCCTTCGTGGACCCCTGGCGGTCCAACTGGACCCTTTAAGGAATCACTGACATAAATTAAGAGACAGTGATCTTCGTGTGTTAAGCGAGTGGGTGTGAATTTATGTGAAGAATTGATTCGGTAGTGAGCTAACAGTGAGCGTTTGCAGCCCCGCAGACGACCGCGTACAACGAGCTGGGCCAGAGCTGCTCGGCGGCGGGCGTGTGCGTGGAGCTGTTCGTGTGCAACAACGCGTACGCGGACGCGGCCACCGTGGGCCAACTGCCGCGCCTCACCGGCGGACAGACGCACAAGTACACCTACTTCACGGTCAGTGCCGTACGTTCACACAACGTACATTTTATGGCACTCATTTGGAAAATGTTGCGCTTTGAAAACTTGAAAAAAGTAGGGACAATATACTATAAAAATGTGCTAAAATACATATGGTATTTTATTAGTTACAATTTTTTTTATACAGTTTTCATTATAACAACTATTAAAAAACGTACAAATAACACAGATATTACTAAGGTTTCCCAGACTCCCGTACGTTTTTCGCTACTGCATCACCGTATGACGTGCATTGAATTTGTAGGGTGCGTACAACACAAAAGTATATCGGTGCGAAACTGATCAAACGTCAAAGTCAAAATTGACAGGGACAGCTGACCGACAGGTAGGGTTGCACGGAGGGAATCGACAACTAGCGCTGCCAGGAGGAGTCGACGTTTTTCCCTCCGACGCTATGCCCACGGTTAAATATTTAATTTAATTTAAGGAGCCGCCAGCGTTACTCACAATCGGTAACACCCATGAGTTTCATATGAGAAAATCTGATGAAATCAGGGTTATCTATCTATATAGCGGATGCACATAAACTATGGGTATGTTCCGATATACACTGCGACCACTGAACAGTATGACGTCAATTTAGTATACTGGAAGCCCGTTCCTTTATAGTTAGTCATACTGGTGACTTTTTAAAACGGAACGCAGTCCAGTATACTGTTAATCCTATTTTTTGGCGCCATTTTCAAATTTGTTTATGCAAGGTGGATATAAATATAAAGATTCCCTCTTTTCAAAAGAAAATATTATAAAATTGGAAAATTGTATAAAAAATATATTTATCAATTAAATCCATCTTATAATAAACGTAAGTATTTTATTTTATCTGTTTCGACTGATCACGTGGTCAAAAGCACTGCGAGCACCTTACCTCGAAACCTCCAGTGCTCACAGTACAAATATGGCGGCAATTCATGACGTCATAAATTTCCCTACGGTACTGTAGCAGTGTACTGGCAGTCCATAACGGAACGGATTTTTCAGCAGTAAGACCACTGCGCAGTGCTCGCAGTGTATATCGGAACATACCCTATATATACAATTTGCAAAATCACATTACAAACAATAGCTTAAACTGTACATAATGAGGGGGTATATAGTCTCAGCGGATGTCGTTCCTGTGTTCGATCACAGCAACGCCGCCGGTATTGGGGCGGGGCCTAAGTAATGTACGTATGTATGCGAGTGCAGGCGGAGGCGGACGGCGCGCGCCTGGCGTGGGACGTGGCGCGCGTGCTGGCGCGGCCCACGGCGCACGACGCCGTCATGCGCGTGCGCGCCTCCAGCGGCGTGCGCGCCACCGACTTCTACGGCCATCTGTTCATGGCCAACACCACCGACGTCGAGCTGGCCGCCGTGGACGCGGACAAGGCCGTCGGCATCGAGATCAAGCACGACGACAAGCTCACGGGCGAGGACGGCGTCTACGTCCAGGCGGCGCTGCTGTACACGCATCGCTCCGGCCAGCGGCGGCTGCGGATCCTCAACTTGGCGCTCAATGTGGCGCACCAGCTCGCGGACGCGTACAGGAGTATGGAGCTGGATACCTGCATCAATTTCCTTACGAAGCAAGGTAATGTAAACGTCGACGTTACGTAGATCGGAGAAGGTGGGGCTTGTCATGTTAGAATAATATAGATATTCCCTGAATCTCCGGATTTGTTTTCTAAGTAGAAAAATAATGAGTTATTCACGTCTTAGTAAAAGAATACATTTCCTTTCCGATGCGTAATTGAGATTTTTTTTAGGAACAAATAATTTTAATGGTAATATCTGAAATGATTCATTTATTTCATTAAAATGATCAACACGTTTAAACAATAATTTACTTTATGTTGTATTAAGCTATCTTGGTAATTTACATCAGGATTCCAGTTTTTTACGGGATCGCAACCGTGTATCTTGTTTTTATTGAGTTCCCGATATTTCGGCGCTGTTGCAAGCGTCACGGGGTAACTGAAGTTTCTATGGATAGGTGTGCCTACCTTCCTTTTCTAAATGTCATTAATCTACTTCTTAGTCCGGTTTGTCTTCAGTTTCACTAAAAAACTAAATATGACTCGAGTTAAAATAAATCGCCATTGGTTTTTCTAAATTTTCAACACGCCGCTGATGTAAAAGTTATACGTCGCTCGTCCGCTTATCAGCTTACATAAACCATTTTTTATAGTTATCCATTCTAAAATAGTATCAATATTAAGATGAATGTTAATGTGTACGTGCAGCGGTGTGGGCGGTGCGCGAGACGGGCGGGCGTGCGGCGCGCGAGGCGCTGTCGGGCCGCTGTGCGCGCTCCCTGGCCGCCTACCGCCGCCACTGCGCCTCCCCCTCCGCCGCCGGACAGCTCGTGCTGCCCGAGTCCATGAAGCTGCTGCCCCTCTACACCTGCTGCCTGCTGCGCTCCGACGCCCTCGCCGGAGGTAACGTGCCCGCCCCGCCCCGCCCCCTCCCTGGCCGCCTACCGCCGCCACTGCGCCTCCCCCTCCGCCGCCGGACAGCTCGTGCTGCCCGAGTCCATGAAGCTGCTGCCCCTCTACACCTGCTGCCTGCTGCGCTCCGACGCCCTCGCCGGAGGTAACGTGCCCGCCCCGCCCCGCCCCCTCCCTGGCCGCCTACCGCCGCCACTGCGCCTCCCCCTCCGCCGCCGGACAGCTCGTGCTGCCCGAGTCCATGAAGCTGCTGCCCCTCTACACCTGCTGCCTGCTGCGCTCCGACGCCCTCGCCGGAGGTAACGTGCCCGCCCCGCCCCGCCCCCTCGTTTTTATGGTTATAAATTTGAACACGACTACGAATCGTTGACCTCGTCTATCGTAATATCGTGTCGTAATAACGAGCTCCACCGTGCTTCAAAAGGCACGTCGAGCGGTCGGTCCCAGCTGCATTTGCAAAACGTCGATAGCGTGGAGGTTGGGGCCTATCGTCCTCGACCACCTAGGAGGACGTGAGGGGGACGTGAAAGAGTCACCGCTGATGATGATATTATATTGTATTGTCCAGGTCCGGACATAACGTGCGACGACCGCTCGTGCGCCATGTACCGCGCGCTGTGCGCGGGCGTGGAGCTGTCGGTCGCGTACACTTACCCGCGCCTGCTGCCGCTGCACGAGTTGCCCGCCCCCGCGCGCCCGCGCCCGCTGCGCGCCTCCGCCGACAAGATGGCCGACAACGGCGTCTATCTGCTCGGTAACGTTACACCCATCCCCCTACCTCGCTCTGTTACACTTTTACTTGACATATTACATTCCGTCATTCATTGTGGTACACTCCATAACTTACTTTGTTACACTGTATCACTTCTTTGGTTACCCTGCGTTACTCGCCGCTCATTCCATCACTCCCTGTTCTACACCACTATTCATGTAAATCGGAGCCGTGTTGGTGAAGACTTTTTACATCAGATTTATACAGTTAACATGCACTCGATTTATTAATCCGATCCGACGTATGTGCAGAGAATGGGGTGCACATGCTGCTGTGGGTGGGGTCTCAGGCGCCTAGCGATTTTGTTCGCGACGTGTTCGGTGTACCGTCAGCACAACAAGTGGACACGCAAGTGGCGGAGTTGCCGATACTCGACAACGACACTAGCGCCGCCGTCAGGGAACTACTGCAGGAAGCGAGGGTGCTCCGCCGCAGCGCCATGCGGGTAACGTATACTAATAATAATATTTAAGTGCCAAATTATGACTTTTAGGCGAATGGTATATATTTAAACGTATAAAATAGAAGTGAATGATGTTTGCTACGATAGTTGTGTACTCGTCTTTTGTCTCACTGCACTTACAAAAATTGATTTTTATTTATTTTGTACTGTTCAGTCTTCATTAGGTTTATACTTTTAAAACTGTGCTACATAATCCCTTCTAGTAAATACGAAAATAGTTTTCAACTATAAGCTTGACTTTTTAATAAGTCTCATTTATTAGACGTAAAAGCGATCATTTACCACCAAAAAGAATCGAAATGAATCTAATAATGCTAAAATATTTTTTATAAATACAAGATAATCGGTGAGTTGCACAAACGTCCATTAAGATTTAATGACAATTTTAAGCACTAATAAATGTTCTAAATTTGACAATTTGTATGGGTAATGTGGCATTAAAGTAATTAAAGTTTTAATGTACACGTTTGTGCAACTGGCTGAATGTCAAGAAGTCATAGTAATTATTGATTCATAAATTCGTATATCGAATAAAAACCTCCATCGCCGTTGGTACTATCTAGTTTACATTTAGTTTTATTTATAATAATGAATCAATACAGCAGAAGTAAATACTTATATTTTTTAGATTTCATGTGGCAAATTAACTTAGGAACTAACTTAGGAAATATTCCATATTTTTTTCTCTCCCTCTCTTGCATCTGCATGTCGCACTTTTGCTATACAAGAAAAAAATTTTAACAGTGCACAAACTTGTTCCGTTGATTTATAGCCAGTTGCACAAACATCCATTAACATTGTCATTAGTTTAAAGCCACTTTATCCATACAAATTTGACATTCATTAGAGCTTAAAGGCGTCGTTAAACCTTAATGGACGTTTGTGCAATTGACTGTTAGTGTCGTTACTATTACATATTGACGATAGTTATATTATGATTGAAAATATATTTTTTATTTTATTTATTGTCATTTTTTTTGTTTATTTAATAGTAGTGAACGAACTATAGGTATAATGACGGTCATCGACCTCCGTGTGTAATAGATATAATCAGAAGTAGCAAGATGTATATAGACATCTTTTATCTCTCATGTTCAAATATATAGAGTCAAATTTTGTGTGTTTGTAAATGTAAATTTTGTGCACTGCCTATGATTTTTTCCTGTATTGTGTTATAAGATATATGAAATAATTTTTAAACAACGATATTTTAAAGCATGTTTTAAAGGGGCTTATAATTTTTCATTAAAGTTAAGATCATAACCTCAAAGAGAAAATCCCTAGATATGTACAACAGTGACGCCTCAACAGCCATATTCTTTGAAGTCGATTAGAACAGTTATAATTATGCGTTTTTTTTTAAGTGACCGATTGCTTCATCGGACTCGTTTCTCTTTAGTTGATAATAGTGAAGCAGAAGGATGACTACAAGCGTCAAAAGCTAGTCCAGCAAGCTTTAGAGGACCGCAGCGGAATAGAGGCTCTCTTTAATGCTAGGTGATATAGACTGGTCTGCGAGTGTAACGAATCGTTTTGTGTTCAATATTAGGGTGTGCTTTTAAATCAGTGGACAAATATTATTCGTCTACAAATAAATACAACACATTTATGTGCAAAGACAAAAATATATTGTTGTAAATATTAAAATTAACACACTGACGGTACATCGACAAAAGACGGACATTGACCTTCATACAGTAGGATACTTATTTATAGGCGTATTTTTTCTTTTTAATCTCCGATTATTGATAGGTTAAAAGAAGACGTTACAATAATTTATTGGACACGATATTAATATTTATGCACTGATTACAAATTCTTCTTGTGTATATCGGAAATACTGAAAAATATGTATATAAACTAAACCGGCAATAGAATTAAGTATTAAATTACTAAGCAGTAAGACATTTCGTTGTACGTTACGTGCCAAGTTATATTAATAAACAATTATTCCTTTGACTTATTCGCAAAATTGAAATAGTAGGAATAGTTTATTAACTACACTGGCAGTATGGTTAAATTCCTTCGCCTGTCTCAATGGACGAAACAAGTTGAGAATCAACAAGTTATAAGTATATGGAAAAAGAAATTACGAAATATTTATATGTATGTCATTGATATCGTAAAACTTAGATATTATTGATTAATCACGTTTTATTTGCATTCAAAGTTGGATTTAAGAATAAATTCTATTTTCATAGGTAAATTTTAACACACCGAGAATGTGTAAATGAGAGCAATAAATTTATCTGTATGAGTCACAGCAACGCGTGACTTGGGGTCAGCAAGTTAGTATATAAACTGCGTACAACTGATAAGAAAACTGGACAAAGTAATAACATCAATCATGAATGCTACCGATATTATGAATAATTAAATACAAAACCATTAAGAATTATTGTGAAATCACTCGCGTCAGCCATTGGCGACAAAATAACTCGCTTGTTTATGAAATTATCAATATTAACAATTACAATATATTCTTATATCGTTTAGTTATTTCTGTTCTCGACAGAAGTTTTTACAATTCACTCTTTGGGCTGGTATAATGTAAGCCGTTTATAGCCGTAAAAATTTTTTGTTTAAAATTTTATCAAAGCCGCGTCAACCTAAAGTACGTGACTTCATCTCAGGGGCAACAAACTAACTGAATTTTCATTTATGCACGATCCGTAAAGAGATTATATAAAGTTGTCTCTCGTAATTAATAACAATATATTACTAAAAACAATATTAAAATACATCAGCTGTATTTCAAGGTTAAAATTGGAAAATTTTACTTAGCTTTGTAATTGGCTTTACAGAAAATCACTATTGTTAAAAAAATATGACGCCTATCCGTTTCCTTTAGTGGCTTGTTCGACTTTTTTTTATGCGTAGCCGTAATTACAGTTTCAGTATTTCCCATATATTATGAAGATATAAACTTTGTTTGTCAATTCGTTTCGGATTTCGCAAGGGTTTTATTGATTGTCGCTCAAGTCTATTGGTACAGCTTACAACCTGGTATTTAAGAGTCCTCTATCAATGGAGTATTCTACTATGTTTATTAAAGTACTCGTGTTTATTTAAGTTTAAATGAGACACACAAAAAAAAAATGCTTCTGCTTGTTTTAAAATTAAATATTCATGACGTCATGCCGATACGTGCACACAACAAATACATAGACATATTATTTAATAGATTAATTAAAATATATCAATCAGACAAGAACATGGTCACCTGACGATCTTGCTACATAATTAAAAGAATTAAGTAGATAAGAACAGCGCTATCAAGAGCTCTGATAAGGCACAAAGAACCTTATGGTGTTGTGTTATAAGTGTTATTATATACAATATAATAGTAAAAAACTTATGAAAATGTCAGCATGTATCATCATATTATTTCCTTATTTCGATATAACTTGACTAAATTGAGACTCATTTAAAATACTACACTAATATCAACTCAGGACCATATGCATATTTTCAAGTACGTGTTTTATAGATTTTACACTGAGAAACAAATGAGCCGATCGGGATACACCGACAAGTTTACGGTCGGCATTTTCGACTCGGTTCAATATACTTTTGTCTCGCTTCCACAATTTAACTCGCTCACTTTTTCATCGGGTCAACAATTAATTTAGCCCCTCATATTATGTCCAGTTGGACATAATACTCCAGAACGACAAACGGGAGTCTCAATTCCGAAGACTGCTGGTTGAAGATCGAGGCTTGGACGGTGGCGCCACCTACACGGAGTATCTGCTCGCCACGCATAAGACCGTGCAACAAATGCTGTATGTTCACGCTTGGGACAGCTTGGGACAGGGCTGGGAAATGGTCATGGATATACAGCGATCAAAAGTCTAGGGAAATTATGATACGTCTGAAGTAGATAATCCAATTTTCGGAATAATGTAGCTAGATACATCGGCGAAGAGCTATAGGACAGTTTGGATTGACGAAAAACTGACTCTGATGTAAATAAATGCATGTTAAGTGTTAGAACTGTTATTTAAAAAAATCTACTTCATTGTTGGTTACTCTAAATTATAATATGTTTAAACATTATATTAAAGAGGATTTATTTAAATATATTAATTAAAAATATATATATATATATATATTAACACTGGTTAAAGATTGCTTATAAATACTTAAATTTAATTTAAGATAATTATTATGTAAGAATACGACAAATCAAAATATAACATGATCTTAATACGATTCAATTGCCATAGTCAAAGCGTGATGGTACTGTCCCCTCGTATTTTGCTATCAATTTAACAACTTTGGAATCGCGTTCAAGCAACTGTTAATGTCTCAGCGACGAATATAATTGTGTTTGTATGTTTCGCGTCTTTGCTTGCTATAGATAGATATGTTTTGCCAATTTTACCAGGTTTGTATGTGTTTATTCGCTTGTTTTTATTGTGTTTTCAATCCCTAATTGATGGGGAGGTTAATGTTTTTTTTTTGGGTAATTCGTGTTTTATTTGAAAGGGATTTCTTACTTCTTTAACAATAGATATGATGCTATCAAAGTTTTTATTTATATACCTAAGAATAATTTTTATTCTGATTGAAGGATAAATTTATCGCTTATTGAGGATATGTCAATTTAATGTCACCATTTTAGGTATTTATTCGTTATCTATATTTATTAATAATAACTTTGTTTGAGGTTCAACTTATATCGGTTTGGTATATTTGATGCGATTATGTATTATTATAGGTACAGGTCTTTTATATTGACACGCGCACTATTCATTATATATAATTACATTTAACGGATAAACATGCGGAATCTGCAAACGATCCGATAAAATGTTCTTATATTATCCGTTAAAATTAGTTTTATATAAACTTTAAATTTTTCATAATTAAAATTAATTATTTAACTAACTATTGATACTCTACAATAAAAATGTAATCAAAGCAAAAATAATTCTATTTTACATTTCATAATTAAATATTAAAATTTATGATTTAATTTATATTTTTTTTCATTTTCACTTTTTTTACAATATAAAGAAAACTCAACTTCTATTTTATTGTAAATACTAAATGTTTAATTTATATTGTTTCAGTTAACTATAATGAGACAACACGACAAACTGGAAACTGTACTCAGGCATTTCCTGGTCGAAGATCGAGGCGTCGACGGCAGCGCGTCATACGTAGACTATCTCTGCCACATACACAAGGAGATAAGAGCTCTCCTATAGCATCTGTACTATTAAACGACAATCGACACTATTCCAACGGCTACAAGACGCAATTTTCATTGAAACATACAATGATACGTTAAAGTATCATTTGTTATAAACTGAATTCAATTAGCAATTGTATTGTTAAAAGATTATAATTGAAGATTGCTAAAAGTACTACTTAAATTTTAATTAAAGTGTTGCAGACATCATAATAAAATTGTGAATAGTTATTTGAAAACTGAATAGGTATTGTTTTGTAAGAATACGCTAAGATTTTGGTCTTGGCTTGTTGATAGCAGTATTCCAATTGAATACAGAGGGCGCTGTGTTCGGTATCGATCACATTTTGAAGAACTTAAATAGTAATATTCAATTATTTTTTTATATGTATAGGTTGTGTGTAGAAAACGAGAATTAAAAAATACATTTTTGTTTTTTTCAAAAAATATATTATTAAAAATCTAGCAACTCAGATGCGTCTCCTCGAAACGAGTGTAAACGAGTGAATAGTTTCTATATGATAATGTTGCATTACATTTGAATACAAAATTTAAATAAAAACGATGTTATTTCACAAGAAATATAAAAACTGTTTTAATTCTTAGGTGCCAAAAGTAATTTAAATATAATTTTAAAATTAAAAAGAAGACTCTCATGCTAATAACAAACACAGCGTACTCTGTTAAATAGGTGTGCATTTCTTCCCACTTTCTCGTGAACTAAAAGCATTTGATTATAATTACTACTGCATAAAAGTGTTAAAATGTTATAGTATGTAGTCTAACTACCGCAGAGATGCCCAATTTTTTGTTTTCAATATGGCCGCCTTTCAAATTACTCGTCTGAATCGATAGGATCGGCGTCATAAGTTTTCGAGAAATAATGGACGGTAGCTTTTTTTTTAAAGAAATGTTTAACAAGCCGTTTTCGTATGTATGATTAAATCGTATGTATGATTTCGTATGTATGATAATTGATCGTTATTGTTTGATTGAAATATACAGGGTCATTGAGCGCCAGTAACATCGCAGTTGGCTATAGCTAACATCATAAACAAATTTTATATACGATTTTTTCGTAACTCAATACTTTGAACCAAAAATATTTTTCAGTTTGCACTGTTGTAACATTTATACGTCTGTGATGATTTTTAGTTGAGTCAGATGGTCGCTCTGGTGAGCCCCAGCCCCGGCAATAATGATTTATCAATCTCGTAAAACGACTATTGTTGTTTATATGTTATTAGCAGAGGTCGGAATTAGGTAGAGTTATTTATGTACTTGCATCGAAATGTTGATATTAATGTGGACCTTCCCGGGATTTCTTTATTTCTTCTTTCTTTATTTCTTTCTTTCATTGATGTAAGTTTGGCAACGTCGTGCGTGCAGTAGTTTAAATTGTGTAAAAGTAAATAACTTTTTATTAAAAAAATCACGGGATTTTTTCTGATCTTTAAAATTAATTTCGGTATTTGAGGCATATCCACTTTATTCTTTCGCTGTATGAAATCAGTGTAAGTACATGAATAACTCTACCTAATTCCGACCACTGGTTATTAGCTATCAAGTTCTGCGAGGTTGCTGATGTTTCACGGATAACCCTGTATATGACATTGAATAACGAATTAAGCAAAGTTTTTACAAAATTCAGTTACTTAATGTTCAGTAAAAATAAATAACTATGATAATTTAATTAACACTTTTTATATCAAGAACTATGTATTTAATGATTTATTTTGTTGCCACATCTAATAAATTATAAAGATATTTGTTATTCAGAGAACACTGAATACATTGTAAACTATTATTATTAATTTTAAAAATTAGGTAATAAAATGTAGAATACTTAGGAAAACAGAGATTTGTAAAAATATAAATGTGTGCTAGAGTAAAAAAATATTATTTTGTGGTTGGTCTTCTTTTTTATCTAATATAATTGATGGAAACTCTTTAAGTTATTCTTTAAATAATATAGTTACTATAAATGAGCGCAATATTCCGCATAGCGTCTTTGTTATAGTTTATATCTTATGATGATATTAAAAATAGTAATAGTATTTGATTGTAATATGTTTTATCTGTAACAATAAGATTCTACTATAACTGAGTGTAAATAAATATATTGGCATTATTATTCGCATCTGTTAATTGTTTTATAAATAACATTTTATACATATAATAGTACTTACTTCGCCCTCCTGGTCCCTACGGACGTGTTGAGTGGGATAAAAAGTGTCCTTTTATCTAAGTCAGCTAATACTTATCTGCGTACTAAATTTCATAAAAATCCGTTCAGTAGCTTCGGCGTGATTGACGGACAAACATCCAAATATCGAAACATCCAAACAAAGAAACTTTCACGTTTATAATATTAATAGTATACTAGCTGTTTTATCCGAGGTGACCCTCATAAATTATAGTCTGTATGACCCGCGTATGATGTAGCTTCCCGTAGATGAGAGACTATTTAAAATGGTTTCCATTAGTTTTTCTCTTTAACAATCAAACAATCATAGCTTTCCACTTTACAATATTAGTATTGAAAAGCGGAGGATCTCTCACTTATCACGAAACCTCAGTGCTAGGAGTTTCACATTTTGGGGTAAATTAGGGAAGAAAGTTTTTATGGAATTTTCTCATTTCTGCACTTAAAACTAGTTTTTCGCGCCATAATGAGGGCGTTCGCACATAGTGAAAAAAGTATAGTACGCCGAGCGTGCTATGATAGCATCCCCGTTTAATTTTGTATGGGTGACCTATGATACCTACAAGGTAGGTAGTTAGACCTTGTTATTTGAAGTAGCTTCCCTGCGTTGATGACGTTACATCGTAAATTATTTTGACTTAAATGACGTCATTTAGAAAACTGCGTTATTATAATACTTCGCTTTGTTGTCTGAGTGATTAGTTTGAGTTTTATTTGACGTTTACGTTTCACGCTCAATAGAGCGTTTCCATTGTTTCATCACATCATCACCAGCCCTTTTATGTCCCCACTGCAGGTGCTCAGGCCTTCCTTATGGATGGATAAGGAGGATGGGCCATGACCCTCCACGCTGGCCCAATGCGGATTGGAGGGTATTGACGACTGCAAATGCAGCCAGGACCAACGGCTTAACGTGCCTTCCGAAGCACGGAGTAGTTCGAGATAATAATTTTTTGGTCACCCATCCCGTGACCGACCCTTGCGAAAGTTGCTTAACGACAACGATCGCGGGCCGCGGCGCTTATCTACAACGCCACCGAGCTACTCATTCCATTGTTAATGAAAACTAAAAAGCACCATCTAGTAAAAAACTAGCTTAAACGGATAAGCGAATTTGAATTTTTAACATGTTCACCAGTGAAAATGAAAACCGATTCACGCTCGCAAGCGAATGCGTTTCGTGAAATCGCAAGCTTGAGTCATACACAATCGATGTTTACACAATCTTCAGTTAAGTTTACACAAATGCAAGAGAAAGCTTCTCACTTTAATTTATAAAGTAAGAACTAAATTAGCAACATTGATGTAACTATATAATGTTTGATATGATGTTGCCACTGATTAGAATGGTATGTTTGCAGCTGCTAAATAATGAGATGGCCGTGTCTATAATGTTACAATTTTAAAAGAGACCGTGTGACATAGTTGTTTTGTTACTAATAAAACTCACCGAGCTCTATTAATATGTAGGTACATATCAATGAAAAAACTACAATAGAAACATCAAATTGCAATTCCTAATGTTAAGGTACCTATTTTACTTACGAACCGGTCATGAGACGGGTGACTACTAAATATTTTCTTAAGCTTTTCCACGCTTCGGAAAGCATGCTTAACCATTTGTACCGGCTATATCTGCAATTGCTTATACCAAATTTATGATATTTGGTGCCTAATCTTCGTTTCGAAAATCATTTAAGGCTAAAAGGCATAAAACTTTAAGGCTAAAAGGGTTACTCCAATGGACGATTCGAGCCAAGTCTGAATTAATAGCGTTCATTGCATTACAAAGCTGCACTAAACGCTCCTGGGAGTAAATTTGAAATTCTTCTGCATACAATGATAGGAAGAAGAAAGGTGCTCGGTAATGGAAATAATAAAAATAGATAACAATAACGGAGAGAGCACCGCCTTGAGGGACACCGGCTGTCGTAGAAAGCGAAATTTCAACAAATACGTTCCCGGTGACCTTCTATACAGCTACGAAACCTGTCAACTACCGCTGGAGATATGTTAAGGGAACGTAAAATACCTAAAATTATGTCAAAATCAACCGTGCCAAGAGCGTACAAATTTTTAACTGCTATTTTATCCCCATTATAAGTAAACTTTTCGAAAATCCCTCCATAGACGGTAAATACTTATATTTCAATAGTTTACGCTCAGCATGGCAAAGAATAACTGTTATTAACAGTAGATTTGCTGTTTTGATGCTCCACTTTATGTTTTATTCCTATTTTTTCCTGTTTCTCAATAAGCGTTCAGAGCCACCTACTACACTATGTAAATATAGTCCAAAATAACGGATTGTTTTTAATTTGAAGCCACACAAAGGCACCTGAAAAAATTCAATAAAACTATGTATGATTTTAAAAAGGAAAATGAGCCAGAAAATACAAATAAATAATAATATTATTATTATATATAGTATTATAAATAATATTAATAAATAATATTGTCATTTATTTGTATAAAATGGAAACTAATTGAATTTTTTTATTCGTTTATTTATTTTTATTTTGTAATCAGTATTACAATATAACAAGGTATGTAAGTTCTGACAACCAATAAAATTATATCAGTTTTATTTGTACAGAATGAAATATCCATTTTTAACATATCCTACTGTTTTCTCCTGTAAGTATTTTATTAGTGATCAGTCGTTTTCTAGTTTCAGGGGTTGGCAACACTGTGCCAGACAGTGTTAAGTTTCCCGTATTATTACTACTCTGGTGTTAAGCCGTGTGCTGTGTTGTGCATGCGCAGAGTTAGATTCTTTTGAAATATAAAAATTCTTTGGATATAAGAGAGCAAGGTAAGTTTTATTTTGAAATATCATATTAGATATAAAATTTATCCATTCTGTTTCGAATTCATAGTCTTCCCGCCCGAATAATGTTGCGAACCATTTACGCATTGTCATTCCGCTAATCTCCCATAGATACACATTACATTTCCGCGCCGAACTGGCGATTTTATATTTTTATCAAGGTAATTGTTTTGTTTGTGTAGATATTTGTATGCTAAATATGTGTAGGTGAGATACATATTGTCTATGAGAGCTCTACAACATCATTACTTAAATTACTTTCATAATAAATGATTAAAAGCTCGCCATGGAATGAAATGAAAAGGAAGATTCATATAGTTTTATAAGTCTAACATATACGTGAAATTAATTTGCTTTCTATTTTGACTTCATTTTTTTACTCATGATTCATTATGATAATTACACTTTTTTGTTTAAATAAGGATGATGGTATATTCTTATTCTCATCTTTGAGAGTTCTTCAAACATAATACAGACTAAAATTTACCTATTAGTCATTCATAGCACAGTAGGTTATATTAGGCACCGTCTCCACGAGCGCGAGAATCGCGAGATATTTTATTGCGAAAGCTGAAATATTACTCGTAATTAAGTAAAAGTATCCCTGAGTACAATGTGGATATAATGTGTTAAATTGATTTAAAATGTATGCATGACGTCACATTTTCTTGGAACCAACGTTTCCACCATACCTACATTGATACCTGCTCGTCGTCTTCTAATTTTGAATTGACAACTCGTATTATCGCCGAAATTCGATTATAATTATTCAAAAATATCATTTTTTTTCAATTGAATTAACTTTTCACCAATGACTTCGCATTATACATGGCTGTCTCCGATACAAACTTTTTATACCAATGTCACTCTCCTATGGGGAGGGTAGAATTTCCACAAATGCTGCTAAACAGGCATCAGTAGCTCAAAAACAAAATTTCATATTTCGAACTTCAAAAATTCGGACTTTCATACACAAGAAGTCTACTTCAAACCCCAATTTCATACCCCATCATTACCCCATAGGGGTTAAAATTGAATAACAGAACCGTGACAGGATAGCTTTGTACTTACGTGCCTATTTTGTTTTTCCAGGTTTCTTTTGGATAGAAGGACTGTAGAAGGATATCGTAAAGATGAATTTCATAAACCATATACCCGTAGCAGGCCAAATCAAAGGTTTTGCCCACCTTCTTTGCGGGGATGACGAAGAAGGAATAAAATGTTTAAAGCAAGCAAATAGATCCTCATTCGTAGCAGGTGGGGCTATTGTCGGCAGCGTTTTCGGACTACCAGGAGCGTGTGGCGGTGCGGCTATCGGAGGCACGACTATGGATTGTATTCATTCTGTTGCCTGTGATACCTCTGAAGGCACTATCCGTGCAGGGGATCGCATACTAAGGGACATCGAAAAGGGCAGAAACCCTACAAGGTCATCGTTGAATCTTGGGGTCTATGTTGCCGCAGATGCTTTCAGCGGGTACGGTACTTATCGCGGGCTACCGACAAGGGGCGGTATTCGTATTCACCCTTTGTAATGTTACCTACATTACAAAGTACAAAAATGATATTTTAAGCAAAACTATCTGAACGAATCTTCATGTATTCCATTTGATCTAGAGCAGATGATTTGATTTTGCCCATTAAATAAGTTATGGAAGTGAACTTCGACAAATCAAAGCTATCAGCGTTTTTAGTATGCCATATTTAAATTTTGAAGGCGTAATATATTTGTCTGTATGTTATTTAGGCCAAAAAAGAAGCAAATGGCCAAATCCAATCGTCTGCCCTGCGTAACCCTCTATCTATATTAACTGCTTAATGTGTAAATTCATGTAATAAAGTGTTCTTATAACCGCAACTTGTGTATCATTTATTTGCGCCGAATAGTGATTGATGGTGGTTCATAAATTATAGTTCAGAGTGGTAAATGTAAGTTTTACCCTTGAATTTGTATGGATATCCCTAGTTCTTAAAAGTTACCCCTAGGGGTGCTGTACCGGATTCCATGCTAAAATCTTAACGCGCTCACGACCGACAGTGAACGTGAATGTCAAAAAAACTTACACTAAGCGCTTAGCTATGTTAAGAAACAGCATCGAAGTCGACGATGTGCGCGACGCTGTCACAGCGTAGAGCTCAATGAATTAAAACATTGATTATCTTGTCAAATAGGTTTTATTTCATTGAATCTCTATACTCTGACAACACTGCGCACGTCGTCGACTTCGAGAGCGTTTTTATAACAGAATAACAGTGCAAGGGTCCGCAACCTGCGGTCCGCGTGATTGTGTCGACGTGATGTTGCGGCTCTCGGACAAAATATAATTAGACAACTAATGGTGATAGAGATTAAGTGTGTGATGAAGAGAGAGTATGTGCAATAGCATAAGTAATATTAAGTCAAATAGATATGTAAGTACGTACGTAAGAAAAAAGAAAATAAAGTATAGGTGTGCGAATTACAAACATAGTTCTTCACTTCTGCGATGAAGAATCTCATAGTGCGAGCAGGTTCCAGTAGGGAGTTTCATAACCGAATAGACTGCACGGACGAAAAGAATAGGATAGAAAGTCAAAGTCGTTAGGGTAAGCCAGGCTGGAAGCAGTGCGGCAGTATACACTGGGGCCGTGATGAGGAAGCACGAAATGAGAATATTCGTTTTAGGTAAGGATGTGCCATACGCAGGAAAATAATAGAATACCCAACCAGCCAAAAGCAGTTTTTAAACTATCCTAGAACCATGATTTCTTGAGGATTATATTAGTCTTATATCTGCATATAACCCCGGAAAAGGGCCCACTTTATAAGTACACCCTTGCTTACAGCGCGATTATATCAGGCCGCAGCCATCCCACTTTTGATCAAATGGCTCCTATATAGGGATTACACAAGTATACTTTTACCTGAAAATATCAATATAAATCCACTATAGTAAAAAGTGAGACTAACTCGGGCCTAGCTATGCCTCTACTAAGTATGCAAATAGTGTTTCAGTGAATTGTCAAATTGTTATGTAAAAAATTTAAAAGATTGAGCAAAGGTGGTATTTATTAATATGCTAACTTGAGATATTGTCAACCATAGTAGAAAAACATATCCTATTGTTCTTAGTATTTGTGTTGTCTATTTGCTGGGGAATTTGAATTTTCTGTAAACCTTATCTTGGTTTCGATTAAAGTTTTAAAGCGTCTCTTAAAAATGGCTTATTAACATTTTTTGTATTTATTTATTTATCAACAAATATTAGGAATAGTCGCCATTTTTGGGTGACCTTTTCCAAGTATGGTATAGGACTGATAAAAGTTAATTTAGTTCTACAATGGTAAGTGCCAAACCAAAGCAAATTCGCCATGTTGTTACCAATTAGGATTCTACAATTATAAGTCTCATCAAGGGCTCACACTGGAAATCGTAGATTCTGTTTTGATAAATATTTAGTAACCATCGTGATTTTAATGGCTGATCGCAAATCCTATAGTAAGATTTGGGAAACCATTCAAATCGTGTTTTCGACTATATCTGTTGTTTCCAGAAAAAGGCCTTTAAAGAGTTCTAGCCAGGATTGTTTGAAGATTTCTAAGACAATAGCACTACTATGAAATACCCATATAAATCTACCTAGGCTTATATCGGCATATGACAAACCCCTATAAAGTGCATTTTTGCCTTGCGCAAATGGGCTTCAAGCGTTGTCTTATATGCGCATATAAGTCTGAGTTATCGGAGTAGTTCCTCTTGAGAGTAATTACTCTTAATACATGCTCTTATAGGCGGCTTAGTCCAGTAGTAGCCATGAATTGTGATCCTATATACCAATGTAAGTCCATATTGTAGGAGTAAGCGTACTTGAGTAAAAACAGGATTCACGTATGCTGATATAAGTGCAGTGGCATATTCTGAAACCATTATAGTAGCCATATAAATCCAAACAGGATTATTAAATAGCATGCCAGGATTATTTTGTTTGTTGGGTAGAGAAGCGTAAGATTAGGTACTTGCAAGGCCCTGCGCTGGTGAATAGGCAGCCAATTAAGTTTGGAACGGAAATATGGGCCGTGGTCATATTTGCGAAGCTTTATTTTTATGTGATAGGGGGCAGACGAGCAGACGGATCACCTGATGGTAAGTGATTACCGTCGCCCATGGACACCTGCAACACTAGAGGGGCTACAAGCGCGCTGCCGGCTTGGAGGGAAGGGTTGAGGGGTAGAGGGAAGGGAATAGGGAGGGATTGGGCCTCCGGTACCCTTACTCACACGACGAAACACAACGCAAGCGTTGCTTCACGTCGGTTTTCTGTGAGGCCGTGGTATCACTCCGGTTGAGCCGGCCCATTCATGCCGAAGCGTGGCTCTCCCACGGTAAAAAGACGGCTTAAAGATTAAACGCATACACATATTCTCCAAACGCTCTAGCTTGTTAAGGAGTTCCTTAAATTGATCAGTATTGCAAACATCAGCGTAGTCAATAATAAAAAGTAGGTGAGTTTGTAGAGTCTGGCAAGCGAAACGTGTCACAAGAAAAGGGCGGCAATTTCAAAAATTCTTAAGCAGTAAACACTGAATGTAGTACTGCAAAATAATTTTGATACTTTTATTAATTATATTTAATCTTAACATTTAGATATCAATTAAAATTATTTGTTTTGGAACATTTGACTAAAGCGTGACTGTTCTTAATTGTACAGTTAACAGCATATCAGTAGGCCTATTCACTAACTCAACTGACAACCAAGAATCGTCATCACCGTAAAAAATAGACACTTTGATTGTGTCAAAATCACTATTTCGTATTCTCTATCAATGATGAGCAATTTCGAAATGTCAATATCGGCATTCTCCACTGGACTCCATTTTGACACTTGATTTCGTATCGATAAACTGTATTAAAGTAACATTGTTGCAAAGCATATTTGAAGTCGTCGCATAGTACCTCTTAAGCCATTTGTTGTTAAATTAAAGCGAAAAAAAATACGTATCCAATATTTTTCTATTATCTGACTGACGGACTAAATCGAATCTTTTTTTTAACCCATTCGTTATACCTATTGGCTAACAGCACTTATAATATTAAAAATTCATATTTGTCATTAATTAAAAGGGTGTTTTTTGCAACGACTTCTTTGTTTTTTTGTAATGAATATGGGCGACTCTGGCCACATTTTTTTAATAAATGTGATGTTAGCCAATTTTGATTTCTGGCCCTTATATTTATAATGTGTTCATAACACATACATGTCTCCTAAGGGATTTTCATCACAACCTTTTGCTCTGATCCAGAACCACTATCTATCAAATTAAATTAGTCAATATAAACACCAGATTACAATAAAAAAAACATTTATTTTTGTTACAATTAAGTGCCATGGATAAATTACATAATACAGGTGTCACAAAATCATCATGTTAATCACAATAGAAAATTTAAGATAAGATTTTGACTATGAATCAGACTAAAAATACTTTAGTCTGATTCATAGTCAAAATCTGTTTCTAAATATTCTACACCTGATAACAATGACAAGGAATCATCAGAGTCACTCTCTTCACTACTGTCTGCACCAACAGATATAATAAATTTTTCAAGTTCGTTTTCAACAATGCCATCTTTTAATTTGTAATCATTTTCGACATTTAAAACATGATCAGTGTATTTCTTCCAGTCACTAGGGGTAATTAAGTTAAAACACTCTATTATTAAGTTTTCCATTTCCTTTCCTGGTATTCCAATGTTTCTGCTTGCAATTTTTCTTTTTGCTTGACTCCAAACCATCTCTATTGGGTTTAAGTCACAATGATACGGTGGCAGCAATAAAAGTTCATGATTATGTTCTTTTAAAATCTCTTCAGCTTCATATACAGGCAATGTTTTCTTATCATTAACCAAACACATTAACTCTGCCTTTGTCTGATATTCCTCAAAATGTATTCCATTATTTACAAGCCATTTACGGATATCTGCTTTGGTATTAGACATTATAGGCGGTTTATTGATTTGTTTTATATGGTAGCTGGCATTATCCATAACAATTACACTGGGCTTACTTAAATTTGGTATTAATTTTTCTCTGACCCATTTCATAAAGTTCGATGAGTTCATATCATCATGATAATCAGCAGATTTGGATTTACTACTGAACACTAATAATGCACCAGGCACAAAACCTTCCTCAGATCCAGCATGCACAACAATATGCCGTTTTCCAGAGGATATCTTTGTAGTGACACCAGTTGTTGAAGGTCCTTGCCAAGACTTTTTAACTTTATAATTCTGATGTACATAAGTTTCATCAAGGTACACAATTTGCTTTCCTTCGTTTCGTTTTATATTTATTTCTCTCAAATACTTGTGCCTCCATGCAGAAATCTGGTATTTTTCTATAAGCATAGAACGTTCATTTTCATTGCTTTTAAAAGAAAATCCATTCTTAAGCATAATTTTTCGTAAAGTCTCACGGCTACCACTGAATCCTATTGCATCTTTTAATTCATTGTGAAGGCTTCTTAATGTTGGAAGAATTTTTTTCACACAGTA